TATTTAGCAACCACTAGTCGTAGTCACTGAATGTTACGAACCTCCAGCGACCAAATTGTGGTTGTTGGAAGGTGATTTCCAGCGACCAAACTTTTTTGGTCGCTGGAACACTCGGCGCCATTTCTCCCGCTTATTTTTCCCCTTTTCCGAATATCGTTTCCTTCAACGACCAAGTGTTATGGTCGCTGGTTAAAAATTAAAAATAGAATAAACCCATAAAATCGAACCGACCAGCCTAATCCCTCCTCTCCTTAAAAGAGGGAATCCAAGGATCATAGTTTCAATTTGTCACACTCGTTTTCACACACAAACTTGTTGGAAACTGGTTTTGTACTATTCATTAGTCAATACAAAACACACAAAATCAGATCTATTTCAAACCCTACTTTCAGTTCTCTCTCTCTCTCTCTCTCTCTCTCTCTCGAAGCCATAGAAATTTGGCGTCCCTTTCTTCCGCCCCACCTTCATCGACTTCCACCCCTTTTCACTACATATATTACTGGCCGTACTCGCTGCCTGGACCTTCCTGTACTTATTTCGGCATTCGGCTCAACCGGTTATTATCAGTGGACGTACGTTTTCTTCTCTTAGTTATTTTCTAAATTTTCTTCAATTTCTTGGAAAACCCATGTCGAATTTTGTATTTTTGTGTATTTTTTGGATGCAAACGTGGATTGAGCAAAATGGGTTTGGTGGGATTTTTTTTTTCCAGTTTTCGCTTATAATTATTTCTTGGGTTACCTCTGTTGTTTGATTTTTCTTTTTTAATTTTTTCAAAATTTCTTGTTTTCAGCTACATAAGGGATTATTTATGACTTATGAGGCTGTTTTAGTCAAGAAAATTAGAACCTGAAGCAGAACGCAAGCTTGGAGCTGCAGTTTACAAGCCCAGATCATTCAACCATGGAAAAACCTACCTCGAAATTGATTCCCATGGGTATTTCTTCATCTCATTTTCTTGTTAGTTTGCAACTCCTATTAACAATTAAATTTTCAGGTTGTATTTATGTTTATTGTAGTTTTCTTTCATAATGATTAAAGAACCCCGTCTATTAATGTAATTAGCAATTGAGATTAAGACACCCCCCTTCCCTCATCTGATAAAAACTTTATTATGATCTTTATATTTATTCTTAAGATTTCTTTGGTTATCATGTGGTGGTTGAGGAGGCGAAGGATGCTAAATTAAATTATTCGAAAATCACAAATTTGTCTAATGCTGCCGGAGGTGGTAGAGAAAGCCGTAGTGGAGTGCCAAACACTCCCCTTGTCTTTGTTTTTTTACTTTACTTCTAATTCCTTCTATGATTTTTTCTACAAATCTGATTTTTTAGCAAAATAAAACAGGGATTAGTCTCGAAGCGTGTGAACCGAACCTAATAGAATTCTCTCAAGGTAAGCTTGTCATCTACTCTCTGTTTATCGAACCTAATAGAATTCTTTTGGTCTTAGGAATATAAAATTATGAATTAAAATTGAGTTTTTAATTATGGGCTTAAAGAGGGAAGAAAAAATTGGCATCTATTTCTGATTATAGTTTCAAATTCTGTTTCTTGTTCAATTTGTAGTTTTCAATTTGAAAAATCTAAGAATAATCCTTCATTGTAATAGTCGGAGAAAAATTAGCTAGGAGATGAAATTGAATCCATAATATAAATAACTGTCTCATCTTCAAAAGCAAATGAAGGTCTAAATTCAACTATGGCCACTGCCTGTTTATATAAGATTCATCTACTGGAATGTTGAAAATATAAAATAGTTTATATGTTTTTTTAAGTTAGATAAACTTTCAAATATGTAATAGTACTCATCCTTCTGCATGCTTATGAGGTACGACTATCCAAAGTGCTTATAGGTCTACAAGCCGAGCTTTACGTAGTGATTGTGGTGGAGCCACACGAAGCTTAGTGTGGGTGAAATTTTTGTACTGAACCCCATAAAATGTTATTGGTGGAGATGAGTTTGCTGCTGTTTTATTTGTCATTGTGAGTAGAAAACTGTGAGTAATCTTAAGTTTGTGTAACATTACCTATGTCACTTACATTTGCATTAGTTTTTTTAATATGTTTCACAGGTACATTTCGCTTGTCATGAAATAGATTGGACATCTTGATGCATTTATATGTTTGATCATTTGGTCTCTTCAAGTTATAGTTGAATTCTGTTAGGATTTTTTTTCCTTCTTGATGATTTGGCTGTACGACGGATATAATTTTTGCCCAGCCCTTGCCATCTAACATAAATACCCCACAGAGACATGCTGCACAAACATACCTAATAAGGCACACGTACTTGTACTTTTAAGTGTTTAGCTGTGGATGTGGATAATAAATGGGGAGTAAATTGAGGTCTTCAAAAGCGTACATAGAAAGTAAATTTAACTTTGCCAAACATGCTTATAAATTCTCCTTTGCATTCATATTGTTGTGACGTCTATGGAGTTTTGCAATTTAGTTGGTCATTGACTAAATGAATGGTGTAAAGTTTGGCGTGTGAATGACACTTTTATGCAATGGCACTTTTATGCCCTAATGTCTAATTGAAGAAACTAGAACGCACTAAATAATTTCTCTCCATTTTTATTGATATCTGTATGATCTGTGTTTGAAGAAGTGCTAAAAATTGTTAAACCGCAACATTTTTTTACCTATCCATGGAGAACTTGTATTCCTTAAAGAGCATGAGCTGCTGGGAATATCATCTGACATTCATTTCTTTATTGATCTCATTGTTGGTTTTTTTAATATTTATACAGATGCAACCAAAAAGAAAGTCGAAGCATGTGTCACCTACTATTCCTCCAAGCTCAAGCAATGGAAGCTCATCTCCTCGTGGACAACGACAACACTCTAATCAATTACACATTCCCGTCTCAACGCCTTCTACACCTCAGCTTGATGTAAACGGACAACTCAATCGAGTGTTGAAGTTACAATTTATCTATTTTTGATTAAATATTAGTCATTTCGGGTTATGTATTGACTATAAATACTTGAAATATGTGCAATACAATTTTACTTCAGTAGTGACATGTTTCTTTTTAATTTTTATTTTTTCCGATTATGGAAATTAATGTCAACTGTCTTTGGAGTTTTTGGAAATTGAAATATTGGATAAAATATTATCAGGAATAAAAATTATTGGATATTAAAGGATTGATATTAATGTTCATCGACCAAAGATTGGTTGCAAAAGGGTGTAAAATCAACCAATTTTTTCTTTAGCAACCACAATTTGGTTGTTGGATGTTAACTATTAGTGACCACAGTCTTGGTCGCTAAAGGTTGTTACCGACCAATAGATTGGTTGCAAAAGACGTTCATTACGACAAATCAACCAACACGAATGAACCTTTTAGCGACCAACTATTGGTCGCTGTAAGATGTATATTTAGTGACCACAAATTATTGGTCGTTGGAGAGCTTCACCGACGGTATATTAGCGACCAACCAGCGACCACAGTTGTTTGATCGCTAATAATATTTAGCGACCAAAAATGGACCTTTAGCGACCAATTTTGTTGGTCGCTGGAGGTCATTTTTTTTGTAGTGCCAATATATGTTCTCTTATTACTTGCATATTTAAATATTTCATCAAATTTAAAATAAATGCCGTGAAAGCGTGTATTGATTATTTCAATGTTTTTAACCCAATTGACAACTTTGTTACCTTTTTGGTCATTCAGTGAAAGCTTGTTCTTATCTTGTGATTATATTATCTCATCATTGAGGAGCCAGGATATGAGGTTTACATTTAAACATAATGATTCACTGTGAACCTAGGATTACAATTTTACTTTTTAAAAACCAATCATGGTTTTATTGTGTATATTTCTCACTCACGGTTAGCAGAGCTTGCTCAAATCACTCATGAGCTATCTATTTCACATTTTTCCAACACTTGTATCTCTTCTTGTTTAGTGTTTGAAAATTCAAGAAAGTTTTTGTTAAAAGTGTATCGCATGAGAAAGCAGCAGGTACGTCTATATTCCAATGTATCATTCTTGGTTCCAATGGAATTCATATAGGAAGAATCCCTCTCCAATAGAGATTTTCCTTTTGATCATATTTCGATTATTAATACGACTGCTACTACAAAGATAATTACCTTCTTGATCGTGAAATATCGATCGCTTGTTGACTCTTGTGAGTTGTGTGAATGTTTGATACTTCATATTCGGGGGGGTCCAAGTGTTTTACAAAATATTCCCGGCGGAAAAAAAAAAATGTTCATGGAAGATTCCACTAAATTGAATGGAGTCCATGAATCTAAAAAATAGTGATAATTCTAAATCTTTGATCCCTAAACTTGTATTTTATTGCACTTGAATATTCAATCATGATAGAAACTATCTATTTAATCATCATAACAGGAAAATCATTCGTTAAACGGCTAGTTTTTCATTAAATTTTCAGCCTTTTTTGCATTTCAGTTTGGACCAAATTTCCCTAATAAATAGAATAATGCTATTTGCAGTCACTTACTACTACAGTCGCCCTAGTGAGTAACTGGGAATAGCATTATTCTTATAAATATCCCAGTAACTTTTCAGGGGTGTGATCAAAACCTAAAAAAACTGAAGAAACTCGGACAGATGCATCTCATTCTGTGAAAAGGATGAGGCCTTCATCTTTAATTCACCTCTCAAACAATTGGAGAAACATCATGAAGCAGATTCGGATTGTATATTACAGGTACACTTTCCCCTTCAATAAGGTTTACATGTAACTCAATATTACTCTTTCTATCCAGAAGGAAAATCACTGTCATCAAGATGGAGCTGTAAGGAAAGCTGCTGGTATTTCATCGTGAGGAAATTGAAGCAGATAAACTGTAGCAAGCCTCTTGACCGATGCACCATACTTGACTTCGACTTGGTGTTGCAGTCACTAAACTACTAATTTTAGCTTCAGCAAATTGAGTTTCGATATCAGATGCAAGTATCGTGTGACAAGCGTGATTTTCCATCAACACCATTCAACAGGCGAATAAGGGAGTGTCTAACACGATCCAGCATTGGACTCTGAAATACCGGGAATTCTAGCTCCAATGAGGTGTGAAATTGCCACGGGTGAATTGGGATTGCTCACAATGTCTTCTTGTAGAATATCTCCTATCCGAGAGAGAATGTTGAATGACAAGTTAGCTAGAGTTCGAGAGTAGGCTTCCAGAATCGAATGCCCAACATCCTGTACATACATTGAAGGAAGTAACTCAGCACAAATTGATATTTAAACCAACCAACACCCCCATCATTCCCTTGGGCAGGAAGAAGGAGAAGGGATCGTTGTAGTACCAAATGGACATGAATCTCACATTACGGTGAGCCAATGTAATTTAAACTTATATTTATTTTTTCCATTTCATGTAATGTAATGTTGCTCTTGTAACTGGGATTTGGGCTTAATCCATACGCTTATTTGGCTAGTCAGAATCAATGTCAAATAGCACATAGGAGTAACGAACAACCCACCTTTCCGTATTGAACTTTCGTAACATCAAGGAAGCTCTGAGGAAGATTGGAATACTTGGTCTTTAGCAGCTGCAGAAGTATTTCTGCTCGGTTCACCAACGACTCCGCCTTATCCAGCTCGGATTTTGGATCTTTCACGAAAGACCAAGATATTCGAACTGGAGATTTGCCACTTTCTTGCTCCATGATTTTCTCTTTCCACGCAAGCATTGCAGATTCCAATCTGTTAATGACTTCAAGAGCTTCATGTTCAGATTTCAGAATAAGGCAACTCATCATTTCCTCAACTGAAATTGATTCTGCAGTCAATATTTTGTAGAGTTCGACCCCAAGGCATTCCTTTCCAGACTGCAATGAGGGCAAACACGGTAGTCAACAATCAGGAATTTTTACGGATAAAACAACAAATTCATCGTTCGGTAAAACCTGACACTGAAGAATCACAGGCGAAGGTACTAGCCTTTTTAATTAAGCTTTTGGCAATATAAATTTATTCAATATATTTTTAACTCATATTTTCCATGTTTCAAATAATTGTAAATAACGGAAATCATGCTTGCCTTTGGTAGTGCATCCTTGATTTCGGTTGGAACAGGCATTTCGAGCAAGACATTTTCATTTATAGATTTAGCAGCCTTGAATACTTGATGAAGCAATTTAGCATGATGGAGCAACCGCTTTCTTTCTTTCTCAGAGAGCCCAACTGTAGGTACCCGGGGGGAAGGAAGCCACCATCTCTTGCTCTGGCCAGCACTTCTGCTTCTTCCTTCTGCTCGGCTACCCACTTCTGTGTACCAAAACTCAGTATGAACCATTGAGTCAAGTGTTTCCTGTCAGTTCGACACGTGGAAACAGGCGAAGTCAGGCAATCAAAGAAAAAGTGAAACATAAAGATCTAATTTTGTGTGGAGAGACCACCTACAAGAAGCATGCAATCCAACTTCTGCAATGCAGGAAGATTCATATGAATGTCTGATCGAGCTTTTGAGGTCATTATCTGAACAAACAAGATACGAAACTCAAATTTGGTCGCACTTAAAAGTAAGTTTTGCTAGAAAAAAAAGTAACTTGAAAAATCATGTCGAGCAATGTAAGTAACTTAGAAGTAAATGTGCTCGAGTAATAGTATTGAGCCTGGTAGAATTGGTTCTATGAAGCAACAAATACCTCCATTGTCCGGCCATTGACCCCATTTTGCTTTGCAGGAACTAGCTCGACCATATAGTTAGTTGGGGATAGCAACCAATTCATTTCTCTTTGCCACTTGCTCTTTCTTTCCTCCGGCAGAGGTTCCAACTTCCAAAGCTCACCAAAAACGGATGCTGCAAATCCAGTCGTAGAATTTTAAAGTTTGAAGATCAGGATAAAGTGGTAATTTGAAAACAAGCATAAAAGATGATTCTTTCGGGGAATATACCACCAAGATTCATTATGGCTTTGGATAATGCCAGTGCAGCAGAAACCCCTTTGCTACCACCCGTAATATCCTCTCCAAGTAACAGCTTTGCAAACTTCTCTTTCATTGTTTCAACATCTGAATTCTGACTCGGTTTTCCATTTATATAGTGTTGTGGGCTTGCAGAGAAGCCCCATTCGTCTGTGCCTTGATCATCCTTTTTCGTTATCATCCAGAGAGAAGAGAATGATCCAAAAGCAGTATTGCTGGACGAGCAGCTTGAGTCATCTTCATCCAAGGACTCGGGGATATGTCCATCTCCTCTGCTAGTGCTACTAGCATTGTCAAAAGAGTGGCTGTTGAGAATACAACTCTCAAGGCCATTATAAGTCACTATTCCTGTAAGTTTCAGTTTTAATTTAATTTTTATTATACAAGTTACAAGATTTGAATACATGAAAGAAGAAGTACACTAATAATCGAGTGCAGGAGCACTCTGGTGAAGTTTTCATTAGACAACATCTCAATAATGAATCTGGCCAGCACGTGAAGGGGCGTTTTCGAATTTATTTATTTTAATGTTGATCCGATATGCGATATCAAATAGGTTCAACACATGCCATATTCAAACACCAGCTGCTAAATAAACCACATCTAAATTAAGCATAAAGATTCACCTAATACACCTTATCATGGAATCAATCAGAAATCTTCACATTGCACCTAAAAACACGAAAAATGCAAGCCAAAACAAATTTAAAACAACTGGAAGATCAAAAAAAAAAAAAAGGATCTTTAATTTTGAAGTAGGACCATGGATCAGGTCTTTCATTTTTATTACAAGACATGAAATTAATCGAGGATGAAGTAGCGAACAAAAATGATTGAAGGGTCGGATTAAAAGATCGAAAGGCAACTACTTGGAGAAAAAAAAAAACATGAAACAGATGGTACAGAAAAGAAAATCCTATAACAGATGTTGATCCATATAAAAAAACACAACTTTTTTAAAAATAAAATGTCAGAGAACAATGACTTCTTTGTCTCCATTAAGTTATTTCATTGTCTGAAAGAAATGAAATTTATAATTAATTGTAGTAAGGTCCACCATTCCTGTCAATCATATACTTTCTAAGGGCCACTGAAATTTCAAGGGGCCTCCATTACTGAATGGTATAGAATTGATAAATCAGTATTGACTTTTATGTGATACATGCTCACATAACCAAAGACTTTTCCCTCTCTTTACCATTTGGCATTTACGAAAGCAACAAGAAAAAATGGACTAAAAATTTTGAATTGATGGGGTCCAATAGGTAATGAAATGAAATGTCCCACCAAACTTAATGGTCAATGATTCAATAAGATCAATTATAAACCTGCAATATGTGAACAGTTTTTGAGCATGTTCAGCAAAGATTTTTGAAGTTTATAAGCTGGTCAAACAACATTTTTAACCACACGTCTTAGGACCCACAACTTTATCTACTTTAAAACCACAAATTTTTTGGGAACCACTCTTTATAAGCATATAAAAGCTTTGCCAAGACACTTCATAAATAAGTGACAATCAGACTTGAATTTAAGACATTTATCTTATACCATTTTAATCACAAATAGCATGTTCGGTATTACTCGGATACCATCATCTAAAAGCTTAAGTCGTTACATATAGGACATATTTATTTATATAAAATTACTTCTTTGATGGTTCCTGGTAATAGGACTGCAAAACTCAAAAATACTCTACAACACTGGCATCACATTCAATCTTTAATTTCAATAGTCAAATGACATTAATATTACTTCTTGGGTAGTGTAAAATAAATATGACTCAATAAATAGAGTTACCCCACATGGCCAAACCTCACATGATAATATATGGAAGCCATTTTTATTGAGTTTTGACCATTAAAAACAAAACATTTTCATATTCCCATTTACAATTTTATATTTCTTGAAGGTATGGGCCATATTCAAGTAAATAAAAAGCAACTATTTTTAACTCAAGTTTGCACCCCCAAGACTTTTTCAAATTCTCCAACATATTGTTGTAGATGAGCAATGTCATGAGGTAGGTAATTAGGCATATGAAATTGTCACAATTTCAAGACTTTTTTACTCAATTATGACCGAACGCACAGAGAGAGAGAGAGAGGGAGAGAGAGAGAGAGAGAGAGAGAGAGAGAGAGAGAGAGAGAGAGAGAGAGAGAAGTTTACTATCTTGCTCATCCAAGTCAATACTGATTACCCTGTCTCTTGTACAACATGCTAATCCCCTGCTCATGATCATTTTCTTGCCTCCTAAAAAAAAAAAAAACCAAAAACAAAAACAAAGATTGAGGAAAAGTCTCGGGTTGATTGTTCAAACCTCCTTCCGAAGAAAGAGTTACTAATTTCAATCTGATGAGTTGTATGCTTATGATTTTATAGGCATTTTTGTGCACATTTCTTATGCTAAAATCAATGTGAAAAAAAAAATGTATTTGACAAAAAGAACCCAGATTTTTTTTTTTCTTTATTGAGAAAAATCTCAAAAACCCGTCATCGGTTAAGATTATGGGTTGCAAACCGACTGCAAAACTGCAGAAAATGAAGAAAATCTATTATAAATGTTGGGACGGTAAATGTATTTACTCAGAGAATTGTTTCAGAAGGATAGTTGAAAACCATAAATGCATAGGAAATACAGTACTTGAGGCATCAAAATTTGTACAAACAATTGTTTTAGTAGAAAATTTGTGAATTATCCGGTCAAAAAGAAGTAAAATAAAGTTCAAATGTCAAAAGAAATAGATAAAAGAGTCTACAGTCCAACAAACGAAGTGTCTGATGTTAGAATGATTATCGTGTAAGGAAAAGAAGACTGCAAAAGAACCTTTGACGCAATATTCATACACTTTTTTCAGGCTAGGGAGTCCAAAAGGGGGGAAGAGAAGAGAACTAACAAATGAAATTAAGGAATCCAAAAAAAAAACAAAACATTTTTCAGCTGAATTTTTTTAAGCACATTCATGAAAATTGAAGTAAAATTAGAGCCCATTTTGAATCATAAAAAAGCCAAGATTTTTCCATCAAACTCTTGGAGTCTAAACCATTCCCCCACCCGACATGAACAAAAAAATACAGAAAAAAAAATGCAGAAAGCAGAAGATGAATGGGGCAGTGACATACCTTGTGTAATCAAATGGGTAGCGGATTCTTGAAAACACTGTGTGTTTTGGTATAAATGTCAATAGACAGAGAGAGATGGAAAAATGAGAAGTTAGAAGTCAAAAACAGACGGCAATGGAGCTGCAACTTAAATGAAATCAACGAGTTACTGCAAAATTTAGAGAGAGAAAAATGCAGTTTGAAGGATTGGGAATGAAAAGGAACAGAGAACAGAGATAAAAGTTAGAATTAACTATTCGTACATTCTATCTCACACTCTGCTTTACAATTTAAATAGATGGTAATTTTTTAATGGTTGGATTAAAGTGGTTTTTATCAAAAATGATTTGAAATCTAAAAATAGAATGGGCTCTCTCTTTTTCTTTTCTTTTTTTCTTTTTTTCTTTTTTTTTGAAAATGAGTTTCATAATAATAATATTTTATAAAATATTTAGTTTAAAAGTAGGAAAAATTTATAAATTTGAATGCTAAATATTTTATTGTGAAAATGTACGATTGAAAATGAATTGAGAAAAAATGAGTTTTTAATTAATTGGGATCAAACATGGGCCAAGTACGTTTGGCAAAGTTTAAGTCTATGCTTCGGCCATTTTTTAGAATGGATTATGTGAAAAGTAATTTTTTTTTTTTAAAAGAATATATGATTAAAAACTAGAATCTTTTTTTTTTTTTTTAATTTACATGTAAATTATTTAGTAGAGAAAATGATTTGCAAATAAATTACTTTTAAAGAATGAGACTCGAACAAGGGTTAAATTTTAATTTAAATGAGACTTCAATTCATACAATTCATAGGGTTCATGACTCCTCATCAACTTATAATCCACACATTTGAAGTACTTAAAAATTACAAGTTTTTCAATCATGCTCTAAAATTGTATATATTGTGTTGTTTAAACGTAAAACACTCGTTTTTGTTCCTCAATTTTTTGTAATCCACCTAACTACGTTACATGTAGGGTCGAAATTTGGTATACTGAACGTTTAGTTTTGGTGTACTCCCAACACCTCGAAATATCATTTCTTCCTAGCAAATAGAAAAATGCTGCATATTTTTCACAACTCGATGCATTAAACATTACCGTCTTTCCATTTACTAAAAAAGTGGTGTGTCATGTGTCAAAAAATGCATTAAAATAATGGTATATTTGACATAGCAGAAATTATAAAAATAAACAACTTATTTCTTGTTACTTAATTTAAAATTTAACTATTTACTTGTAATATTATATTATTATACTAGAAAAATTTTGGTTTTACGTGTAATATTATATTATTATTGAAGAATGTGTTGTTAAAAAAAAAAGAGAAAAATGTATCTTAAAAAAAATGAGGATCAAAAAAGGACGTAATTTATTTATTTTTATTATAGACAAACACAAAAAATTAGGTTAATGTCAATTTACTAAGTTCGTGCGGTCTACGTTAATCAAATATTAAGTTATACTTCCCAAGGTCACATGTTACGAAAAGTAAAGAGTAAGACAATCCACTTTTAATTTCTTATAAGTCATAATCTTTTCCTTTTCAAGTGTTGTTGTAACAACTTTAGCCAAAAAAAGCACTAAAATATTTCATTAGTGAGTTTTGGGGCTCAAATTTATTGATTTTTTCCTCATTTTTTTTTTCATTTTTAAAGTTGCCTAAGCACAAATCAAGTGTGACTAAAAGTGTTGAAA